ATGGTGTTAAAGATCTTGCTGTAACATAAATATATTATGCTGGATCATGGCATGGTGGCCAAAATTAGGGCAAGTGTGAAAGGAGGCTTCAACTAGTGCAAAGTTGTACTGATTGTTGGAACGCAATAAACCTTTTCCCCTTTGGTAAGCATTGCTCAGAGTAACTATGGCTAAAATGTAATGGATGTTGGTCGTACATGGCAAGCCTTGTAGGGGAGTGGTTGACTGTCCTCTGAGGACCTTTCACTACAGCAATGAAGACTCTAGTTTAGTTTCATCCTGGAGAGATATTCATTAACATTTCATAACTGTGAAATCCAAGCAAACTTCTTAGAGGGTGATATATAATGGAATGGCAGGGCTGTGATGTGGAAGTCTCTTTTCTGCTCTGTTGTTCTCCACAGTGCTTTATTTTATTCTTATATATGTATAAATTATTTAGGTTGATCCCCTGTACTCTGAGTGTAAGTTCAAAGTTCTAAAACACAATAGATGCACAAAATATATTATTGAATTATTGAAGAAATTAAGCCTTAACATTCTGCCCTGTTTACCCTAATCATAGCTTCCACAGGAAGGAAAGTCTCTCACCATGAGTGCACCTTTCAGCGGCTGAAAACTCTGTTCACCTTTGCTGTTGTGTTCAGGATCAATAAGACCAATGTGGCTGGGGTGCAATTAACTGGGGAGGGAGCAATAAAAAGCATTATCTGAAGTGGATGAGGGTAATTTTCAAGCTTTTGGGCTTTATATGTTACCCTGATTTTTTTTTTTTTTTTTTGGTGGCAGTGCTTTTATTTCACAGCTGTCAATTCCCTGTGCTTATAACCATCTTGGCTGGATAGAGCATAGTTCAGAAATGCTTGAAGAATTCTGTTTGGGGAGGACTGTTGTTTATTTAATGGCCATTGTGTTCATGGATCCAGGCAAGAAAATCTTACATTCCTTGTTTTATTTAATGTATTTAATGCTAAAAAATTATATACTCTTCTCCCATGAAATTATCTAGTTTATCTGTTACTTCCCTTCTCATACTTGCTTAAAACGAAGACCAACTCATGTGTCATGCTGTCAATAAGTTAACTCACTTCCGGCTTAACTTTTTATCCTTTTAATACACAATAATAAAACTCCATTATTCAGATTAGCTTAGGTTTATGCTACTGTTACAAACGACTTCTAAGCCTAAGGCTAGAACCCAAAAGGTTTCTTCGTTCACTCAAGCTCCATGTGGATCACAGGTAGATTGGCTTGAAGTACAGCTTTTACTCTGGGCACTGGGTCTGTGGTGCTGCTCCTATGTGGATCATTACAAGGAAAGGAGAAGATGGAGAACCACGCAAGGGCTGCTCATAACTGACATCTGTCTCTTCTGCTCACATGTTATTGGCACAGCAAGTCCTGTGGCCAAGGTGATAGCAACAGCCTGGAAATAGTATAACCCATCCAGGGAAGGGCACTATTTCTGAGCAATAACAGAATCCACTTCACAATCCTGACCCTGCTGAGCGTACATGCTGCACACTTGCTCCTGCAGCCTCTGATCTTTTCCAGATATGCTAGGTCCCTTCCTCTCCATGTCTCACTCCTGCTCTGAGACCCTCCCTGAGGTTGGAGGGTGGCCCCCCATCCACATTTGTTTTCCTCCTTTGCTGGATTGCTATCTTTTCTCTTTCCCTTCATCAACTTCCTCTGACATTTGTTGCTTATGTCAAAGTTCAGCATCACCAGCACTGGTGGGACCTCCTGTTCTTTACAGAAAATGAGCCTACAAACTCTTCTAAAAATTGTTAACCTCTCCTCCACTCCTTTTGCCTTCACTCTATTCTTTTTTCTTTCAGCATTTATCATCACTGATGCATTTAACAAATACTTTGTCTTATTTACTTTCTCTATGCTTTCCTTTTATTTTCCCCTAGGTCTACCAACACCACTCCAATTCCTTTCTCTCTTTTCTATCTAAAGAAAGGTTTTTCTTTCTCTGCAACTGTATTGCATTCTGCAGATTTCCTATCACCTCCCTCTCACCTCCCGTTTCCCTTAATCATACTCAAATTGGAGTCCCTTTCACTTCATTGGCTTTTCAAGTTGATCTACACACCGTTCCAGCAGTCCTTGGGGAAACAGTGATACCTTTTTGTTTCACTGCCATTTCTTGGAAGAGCTCTCACTTCCTGATCTGCCTGCTGAGCCACTTCTTGGGGAGACGGGAGGACTCTTGAGTCACTGCACTAAGCTTGAACACCTGGCTCATTACTGTGTAGCTGTTTGGTACTAGATGTTAATTTATCATCTCCAGTCACCTGTCACTTCCTTAACTGTCAAAAGATTCTTTCATGCTTTTTTCCATGGTTGATGCAGCACAGAAATAACTTATGTAAGACATACTGCAGCTGGGGACTTAGCTCAGTGGTTCCCCCACCCGCCTTGCAAGTACAAGGTCCTGAGTTTGATCCCCAGTACCAGAAAAAAAAAAAAAAAGACATATAGCAATTAGGATGTCCTCAATACATGCCAGTTGATGTAATTATTGTTATTATATCAGTCTCTGCTCTGGTAACTTTGCTCTGAGTCCTACTCTGAACCACACTTAGCTATATTTCCAAAACAATTCTTGAAGCCATAATTACTCTATGAACAATTTCCTTAAGATCAGGAAAAGTGGGTGGTTTCAGGGTTGGTGGAAGTGCGGTGGATTCTTTGATTGCATGTGTCAGAGAGCAGGTAAGGGGACATATTTTGGCCTGGAGATGGGTATATTTATGTGGTTTTATGTGTGGAGGGACGTTCAAGTTACAATTGAAAGGTGTGGTCCTTTCTACAGCCACAAAAAGACCATTTACAGGTGAAGGGGGAGGGCCAACTACAGGTGGAAAAACAATGGTCCATTCTACAAGTGAAAGAGTAAAAGGTATGGGCCCAGGTGTACTGGGTTTTTAAGGCCTTTAGAATTTTTTTTTTTTAATTTAGTGTCCTGAAGCTTCAGTTTTTTTTTAAAAGTACAATTTAAAATTACCATTTCCTAGTCTCCTTTCTATCTTTATTTCTTCTACCTCAAAACCAAGTATAATAGGGAATCGAATGGAATATATATTTAGAATTTATTTAGTGGTATTCACTGAGCCGAAAACAGGACTCAATACTTCAACAGAAGAGGGTTGTTGCAGGAATGAATCACATCTCCAGTCTGTTGCTGTTCCATCTCAAGATACAAATACGCTGAGCTGTGCCTACCCGGAGGAAGGAAAATTGAACTCTGCTTGAACACGGTGGAATCTACCCTGTAATAGGAGGCCACCCTTTCAGCTATTTCTATTTGCATCACCTTTAATTATTTTAAGAAGTACTTGCGTGACCACATTTCTGTATCAGAGGATCTCTTAGAAAGAGACAACTTTAACATGTGGTGAATTTCTAGGAACAAATCAAGTACAGAGGCCCTTGACTGCCAGTGGAGGTCAGGTAACTTAGGTAGCAATGCAGCACCTGAGTGGGCCTCTGGGTCTACAGTCCACAGGCACGGGGATTCCCGGGCACCTGGAAGACCTGGGAGCCCGGTAGTTGCTCTGTGCTGCCCACCCTCTGTCCCCCTCAGCCCCGCCCATCGCGGCGGCCATGGCCACTCCCCCGCGCGCTGATTGGGCCTCCGGGCCTGATGAAACTTCCCGCAGGGTTACAGGAGCTGGGACGCGGCACTGGGGGACCGGCCGCTTCCCGC